CCCTTTAAGGGAAGTAAAAAAGGAAACTGTTGTTCGTTTCATCAAGGAGCATATCATCCACCGATATGGGGTGCCTCGCTACATTATCACTGACAACGGAAAGCAGTTCTCCAACCGACTCGTGGACGAGCTTTGCGACAAATACAAGTTCAAGCAGCACAAGTCTTCCATGTATCACGCTCCTGGCCCGCAAGAGCATAAACTGTGTACGGCAAAATCATCATCAAAACCATCACTCATTTGAACTACGTCATGACTTGATCCCTCCTCAACCAAGGGTACGTAGGCAATTTGAAACTTCAAAACTTCAAGTACAGTCACATCATCAAAATAAAAAAAAAAAAAAAAAAAAAAAAAGGGAAATAACACATCTTGGTGATGTATATGTTTTATCTGTATTTAGCACAATACACTGATAAAATAAAGCATGTTCATTGATCTCCGAGAAATTACAAGTGCGTATAAAAAATAAAAAATAAAAATAAAAAAAAATAAAAAAAATAAAAAATAAAAAAAAGCCCAACTCTTCCTCACCTCCGAGAGTGCACTCCCAGCCCTGCTCTCAAGTACTCATCTTCAACTATTGATGTACCCCCAAAGAAGATACCAGATGCCTGGAATACAGATGAGGCAGGAGGAAACGGTAAATCGAAGCATGTGGAGACAAGCACAACAAATATATGTGTTGATTCATTCGCTGCTTCTTCAAAAGCAAAAGTATCTCATATCATCAAGGGCGAAAGCAAAGGTATCTCATATCATGCTTTTTCCCTGTCTTTTCCTTTGCCCTTGTTCTCACCTGCCAAGACAAGGACAGAGAGAGCAATATGTCGGAACCTCCACTCAAACTTGCGCTGCCACCAAGAAGTGATGGTCCATTCAAATGCAAGGTTTGCATTCCACTCCTGTATCAGAAGACAAATACTACAAGAGAAGATGCCAAACCTGCATAAGGAAATACCACTTCTGCAAAGGGGAGCAAGTAAGGCAAGTGAAAATGATACATTGAAGCATGTGGAGACAAGCTACAACTGCATATGCTGAGCTATCCTCTAACCCTCTTCAATACGAATTGGAGAGATTGAACAAAGAAACAGAAAAAATGAGTAAGCTCAGACCTTCGGGGGAGACCAAAAGAATCCTGCTACCCAGTTCAAGAGTAGCACAAAGGAAAATCAACGAGTGGAGGAGACCAAAAGAATCCTACACCCAGTTCAAGATCAAGCCTCGATGGCCCTTGAAGAAATCACAAGTCCGATTCAAAATCAAGTGTTCTCCACCCTTGAATCAAATTCAACTCCAGATAAAAGGAGTAAGTTCAGACCTTCGGGGGAGACCAAAAGATTCCTCCAGCCCAATTCAAGATCAAGCCTCGATGGCCCTTGAAGAAATTTCCAGCCCAATTCAAGATCAAGCCTCGATGGCCCTTGAAGAAATCACAAGCCCGATTCGAAATCAAGTGTTCTCCACCCTTGAATCAAATTCAACTCCAGATAAAAGGAGTAAGTTCAGGCCTTCGGGGGAGACCAAAATAATCCTGCACCCAGTTCAAGAGTAAGCCTGCGAAAAATCAACGATTGGAGGAAACCAGAAAATCTTCCAGTCGAACTCAAGATCAAGCCTCAATGGCCCTTGAAGAAATTTCCAGCCCAATTCAAGATCAAGCCTCGACGGCCCTTGGGTTGACATCTACATTAAGGGACTTCAAAACGCATCTTCTACACGTGTCAAGCACATGTCTACGACGCGCCTTGAAGTGGGGGCATTTGTAGACATCGAAATTTCAGTAAAACAAATGTTCACCAATGCATTAAAGTTTTGACGTGTCAAGGCATACATGGCATACGCCACGTGTTGTACAAATTATACATGTGGCGTGTGACTCAACAAAATAGGGAGAAATACCCTTGAAGGATTAAACAAGTTTTTCTTCTCATTTTGGGCAATGACAAGGCAAGTACATTTCAATCCATTGAGGATCAAAACAAGTTTTTCTTCTCATGTTGGGCAATGACAAGGCAAGCATACTTCAATCCATTACGGATCAAAGCAAGTTTTTCTCATTTGGGCAATGACAAAGCATACACATTTCAAGTTTAAAATGGTGTTAAGTGGGAAATTAAGCCATAAGTTACACCACTTCAAGTTTAAAATGGTATTAAGTGGGAAATTAGGCCATAAATTACACCACTTCAAGTTTTAAATGGTATTAAGTGGGAAATTAGGCAATAAGTTACACCACTTCAATTTCAATATTGCATTAAGTGGGAAAATTAGGCAATGGTGCTTGGAAAAGAAAAAAATATTTTGTGGTGGTGATTCATTCTCAAAGCCTATAAATAGGCTTCTCCATCAAGGTATCAAGCATCAACCAATTCACAAATACATTTCTCCACACACCAAAACCTTGAAGCCTTAGAGTTCTAAAGCTCTCAAGAAAATCCCGAAGGATCAAGAAAGCACTCTTTGTTCTTCATCAAATCCTCCTTCAAGATCAAGCCCCAACGGCCCTTGAAGAACTTCAACCAACTCAAGATCAAGCCCCGACGGCCCTTGAAGAAAGTGTTCATCCGTTCATCCCAAGATCAAGCCCCAACGGCCTTTGAAGAACTTCCACCAACTCAAGATCAAGCCCCGACGGCCCTTGAAGAAAGTGTTCATCCGTTCATCCTAAGCTTAAGCCCCAACGACCCTTTGGATCAACAACTCATCCATAAACCCATACACCCATTCTTCAAGATCAAGCCCGACAGCTCTTGAAGAAAGTGTTCATCCGTTCATCCTAAGATCAAGCCCCAACGGCCCTTTGGATCAACAACCTCAACAAATCCACACATACAACCGTTCATCCAAGATCAAGCCCCGACGGCCCTTGGATCAACAAACAAATCCACACATCTATTCTTCAAGATCAAGCCCAAAAGCCCCCTTGAAGAAAACCAACTGTTCATTCAAGATCAAGCCTCAACGGCCCTTGAAGAAAACCAAACGTTCTTCAAGATCAAGCCCAAAAGCCCTTGAAGATCCGCTCATCCATCAACATTCAAGATCAAGCCTTGAAGGCCCTTGAAGAAACTTTCATCAACCTTCAAGATCAAAGCCACGAAGGCCCTTGAAGAAACTTATAACTGTTCATCCAAGATCAAGCCTCGACGGCCCTTGGATCAACAAATCTACATCTTACGGAGATAGAATCAGAGGATCAAATTACAAAGAGATCGTAACCCCAAAATCATTAAACACAAAAATATTATTTTGTACACGTTATTCTTGTTTCTTGTTTCAAGGAACTTTCGTGTTCACAATATAATCCATCAAATCCAACGATCCGATTTAGAAACTTGAACCTGTCCAAAATATGGATACATATTAATTGTAGGCATCAAACAAATAAACCCCGGGAGATTATAATAAATTTAGTAATAAGATAAAAGTTCTGCTTTACCTGCATTTGTTGGATTCTGCTAAATCAAACATCCACAATCCAAGCCTAGAAGCAGCCACTCCTGTCATCAGCATATTGAAGCAACACACAAAGAGGAGGAAGGTCCACTGAATTAAGCAAATGAAAAGGGATCGACATTTGAAATTGTCACTTGGAGAAAATGAAGCTCCAATTTAATCGAATCCAGTCTAAGCCGAGCCATATATCGACCCTGAAATTTTTATCTGAGATTGTATGGACCAGAGTCCTGTTCAGAGTGTTAGAATATAAGATTTACGATAGGGTATTGCGACAGAAATTCCAATTGCAGCACTGAGCCACGTTCTATTCCAATGGCATGTGCAATTATGAATGGCCGGCCTTGAGATTCCTTATAGCACTTCCACCACTAACAAATGTGACAGCCCAAAGTCTATTTTTAAGGCCAGCGCTCCCCACCCCCCTCCCCACCCCACAAAAAAAAACTCACTCCACCCCACAGAACAGGCTAGCCCAAAGTCTACCTTAGCTTCTAGGCCAGCTCATGTTGACGTCAGCCAAGGGCTGAGTTCTTTTTTGCGGCTAACGCTTGGGATCACACATACGTGGGCGCACGTTTTGGCATTAAAAAAATGTCAAAGTCTTTACCGTGGTGAAGATGCACTCAACCAATTACTGTTCATTGCAGTCAATTACTATTCATTTAGGTGGATTAAATAAACTTTGAACCAGCTCATTTTTTTAGGCGTGGAATTGCTCTGAGACTCTACGAGCCATTGAAAACGAGTCCTTAAGTTTTTAGGGCCTTCAATGCGTTTTACATTCAAGTAGTTTATTTTTATTCGAAATCAGACTATTGAAACTATTGGGAGCATTTTTGCTCACCATCATAAACTATGGCGTATCCTCACTATACAACTTATCATCTGCCACGTGTTCTTTCACTTAAGCATGGTTAACTTTCACAATAAAATGCTCATTTTTATATTTCGAAAAAAATTAACTATGATTAGGTGAATGGACACGTGGCAGATGATGAGGTGTATGATGAGCATACACCATAGTTATGGTGGTGAGTAAAAATGAATCCAAAGCCATTGCCTCTGTTTTGTGGGAGTTGGTGAAATACTCACCTAGTCTTCATGGGGCATGCTTGAGGCGTATTTGAGGCGTCCCTTTATTACCTCACTTTGCTGATATTTATTACCTCAAAGATTAAGGACTACTCAGAAGAGTTTATGTCTAAAACGTATCCCTATTAATCCCCTTGAAAACGATGGGATTCCGAATTAGAAGACAACATCCATGTATTCTTCCATGACTGCACCTCAACGATAAATTTCAAACGGTGCAAAGTAAAGCGAGGAGAATTGAGTTTCAGATGACGTCATAGGTGAGTTAAGCCTTTAAAATTTGTTCGGCCCAAATAATCTATTAACCTACACGTTGGGCCGTACCTGGACTGAGCTAAGGCAGAGATGAACATATCTCCTCCAAGTATTAGGTCAAACCTGTGTGGTTATGTTATACACGTTGTCCATACAACTCAAACGAAATTTTAGAGATGAAATCGCAATTAACAAATGATTGTCTTCCCATGAAAATAAAGGCTTAGGTACATTGATACGTCCAGAAAATAAACAAAATTAACTGAAGAAAGTATAAATCTTGTTACAGGCACATCCATGACGGGCGAGGGTCAGCACGACTCCAAGCACAGCCTACGACATCCTACCACAAGAAACAAGACATTAGAGATCAATTTTGCGGGATATGTACAATTGAAGAAGGTAAGCATCAATTATCTGGCGGAGGATACAGTTATTTGTTGATCACTACTTGCCTGCCACCATTAGGTATCACAATATTGCTTACTATTCAGTTTCATATACTGAGTCTCGTACTAGAGAAAAATGAATAGCCATAAGGAACAAAAATATGCACAATGCTGAATCTATTTTATGTTTTTTCTATGCAGCGACGTGTGCTAAACTATTCATCAGTAAAAAGGCACAACGAAAGACGAGTTGAAATCCTCTGGGATATGGCAGACACAGCAATCCACACAAACAGATACTAGCACACAGAGCTTGAAAGATCAAGCTTAAGGAATAGTTTTAACTTTTTTCTCTTCAGATTTCAATTTGACCATAGTACCTCAAAATTCTTTTACCAGACATATATAATGAAATCTTAACAAAAGATAAGGATGGAGAAGTGGAAGGATGTAAAGGGTAAATCACAAACGATAATGGGAAGGAAATATGTTACATACTGTTGCTCCATCCTCTTGTCTTGGTAGAAGGGAAGGAAAGGAGCAAATTCTAAGCTTGAAAATCTAGGAGAAACAAGCAATATTCTGTAAATTTGTTTGCATCAACAGTATAAATGAAGATAAACAAAAACGAAAGCATGTAAATGTCAGTCAATTGTGGATCAAGTACACGCACACAAAAAATGCAGTTACCCCACCAAACAAAAACAAAGAAGCATGTAAATTGATAACCAGTTAAAGAACACAAATCCAACTTCTTCAGATTTCATATGATCATAAAATTTTGAGAATGGATAACATATTCATTGTTCACTCATTTTGCATGCTATGTTATTCTAAACATTGCAGGATGTAGAAGAACAAGCACAAGAAGGCCAAGAACAATAGCGATACCAGCTCAAAATTTGATCGGACACGAAGGCCAACTTCGTCGTGCTAAGAATCACCCTTCAGTTCATCTGAATCTGAGTCACTTGCATTATAACCTGCCACAGGTCCACAAAACCAAACAGTGGCACATTTAGTTATGGTGAGGATGATTAGCACAATGACAATGATTACATGAATTTCAAAGACAGAAGTCAACCTGGCTGCTTATCACTAACTTTCCAAACCGAAGATCGCGTCCTCGACGCTCTTGTAATCCATACTCTTCCCTGTAAAATCCCGAAAACCGAAAAGCATTAGCACAAGCAAGAATCATAACACAATCACAACCAGAGCTCTAATTATGTACTAATCCTAACATTTAATCTACAATTTGCAGTGCCAAACACAAAGCTTGCAACTTTAGCTAATAAAATTGATCAAAAAACAAGTTTAGCCACTTAATCTAAATTAATTAGGATTAGAACACGAAAACAAGATCATAAAACAAAAAGCTCAGAACTTGAACCCTAAAACCCAAAACCCAAATAAAAAAACCCCAAAAAACCCACAAATGAAACCAAACCCAGAAAGGCAATTACCATGTGGTCATCTCTGGGGACGCCATAGCCGTTGTAATACATCTGTCCCACCAAAACCTGCATGTTAATATCGCCATCTTTGGCCTCCTTGAGCGTGTCCTTGAACCACCGCTTTATGCAGTCCGACACGACGGCGGAGAGCGGCACGCGATGTTCGTTGCTACTGCTGCTGCTGCTCGCCTTCACTGAGCTGCTCTCAGTCTCCATCTCCTTCCTCTTCGACAACCTCGGCCGCTTCGACGATTTCTGGGTTGTCGGCGAGGTGGGCCTCGTTTGCTTTGGAGGAGAGGTCACCAGGTTCTGCGACGTCGTTTTGGCCACCTGGTACAGCCTGGCGGTGGAGCGAAGCGACTTTCCCATTTATTAAAAAATTGCAAAAGAAAAAAAAAGACTTGAAATTTCTGAATTTAAAAAATATTGGAAGAGACTCAAAAACGAGAAAACAGTTTTCAAGTTTGGAATTTTTTGGGTTTTTCAAATTTTCGCTTACCTTTTTGTGTTGTTTGAGTGGAAAAATGGTATTCGAAAACAGTTTTTGAGAAGTGGGGGGCGGAAATTACATCGCTGCCATGTCCCTTGGCCGTTGGACGTCGTGTTCGTGGTCGACTTGGTGGTCTGCTTTCCTCAACACTTCGTTTGCTCTGATGTCTGTATTTTTTTTTTTTTTTTTTTTTGTCAAAGACGTCTGTATTTTTTTTTTTTATTGGAATTTTTCTATTTTTCATATTATTTATTCCTTTACAAAATGGCGGTAATTGGCGCTATTGGACGAGGATGAGGCTACTTTCTAATATTTATCACAATCGTCCGGATAATGCTTGGTAAATAGTAATATCAGCAGCTTTCCATGTCATTGTGGGCCCTCAGCTACAACTTTCCACCAAACTTACGTATTCCATGACGTGTGTGATGACTAATTATATACTAGGCTCAAGTGACCGTCTGCCGTTGTTGTTAGTTACTCTGATAGATAACGTTGGGTAAATTAAGTTTTTAAATTAAATATGTAAATTAAATGACGTGTTATTAATAGAAATAAGCATGTTAATTAATTTTTAGGTAATAATTTAATCATCAACTTTTATATCATTTGATTTACAAGATTTAATCTCCTAGCATTACTCTAGTCTGGTTGGTAACCGTTGATACAAGAGAAACTCACGAGGCGTGCTCATGATTGTCATCCGTTGATCCCAGGAGACCTTACCATGCTCGAGTGATTGTTGATGGTTGAAGCTAGTGAGTTTGATGGTCATTTGTCGATTTAGGTGAAACTCATTTAACAAGCAGGAATAACCGTCACGCGTTTATTCTAGTAAATTTGATTGTCTTTCCCGTGGTACAATTGGATGTATCACGGCCCCTAGCCATTTGGCCCTTACTTTGTCTCACAAGCATCGTTTGTATATAAGCAGAATGGATAAAGAAAGCCTCCCCAAGTGTTGTCATCAAAGGTACTGCTATGAAACAAATGTATAAAATTAAGATTTTTTAACCAAAATGGTTTTTGAGATTTACAGAACCTCCCACTTCGGTCCATAAGATTTGAAATCAATAGAAGTAGATTTATAAATTTGTCCACCATCATTCATTTTGACCATTCGTTGAAAATCTCCATTAAATAAAGATAAAATAGCAAAAATACCCTCAATTTTTGTCAAATCATTTTGGCTCATTATTTATTAAATTGACAGTATTTTTGTCATTTGGTTATTAATTTACATAATTATTCAAGGAATAACCAAAATGATTGATGGTGGACAAACTTAGGGACCACTCCTATTGATTTCAAATCTCATAACCAAAGTGATGAGTTAAACAAATCTCAATGACTATTTTGACTAAAAAGCGAAAAATTAAATATTACCAATAATCTTTACATGAACATGAACCATCAATGAAACAATGAAATCGGTTATTGTCCCGAACGATGATCTCTCTCCCTGTAATCTTCGAGATGAGCTTTATCGCCTCATGACAATCACCGCACACACGAAGGTTCTTCACAACTCGGATAGTATCTGTAGGAGCAGTGCTGATCAGACCAAATGCAACGGCCAGCTTCTCGCTATGACAGCCAAGGAAATGCTCCTTTTCTTCCTCTTCTATGTCAAACAACACAAAATCTGTGGTCGGAACATAACCTGCTGCTTTCAATTCCTTAGCCAACTCGTGAAGTTTTGCGTATATCTTATCTGACAATGTGTGGGACTCGTCTCCGACAAGGAATTCGTGAACAACCCCATTTACTTCGATCCAACTGCAACCCGGGATTTTCTTCATCCCTTGCCGACTCATTTGTGATCTGGTATCTGCTGCCTCATTCCATTTATGACTTGCAGAGTAAATATTTGATAGGAGAACATAGTGTGCTGAGTTCCACGGTTCTAGCCCAATGAGTTGTTTCAGTACAAGTTCAGCCAATTGGGTATTCCTATGTAGCCGGCATCCACCCAACAGCGCTCCCCAAACAATGGAATTCGCCTCCATTGGCATACTTTTTATTAACTCGTAAGCTTCATCCAACAAACCTGCACGGCCAAGAAGATCCACCATACATCCATAATGCTCAATTGTCGGAGTCAAGGAAAAGACACTCGTCATGTTATTAAAATACCTCCGGCCCTCATCAACTAGACCAGCATGACAGCATCCACAAAGAAGGCCCATGAAAGTGTTTCCATCAGGTCGAATTCCAATTTTTACCACTTGTCCGAATAGTCCAAACACAGCTTTGACATGTCCATTCATAGCAAGACCAGACATCACAGCATTCCAAACAACGTGGTCTTTTTTCTTCATCCCCTTAAAGACTTCCCAAGCAAGGACCATGTTCCCACATTTCGCATACATGTCAATTAGAGCTGTACCAAGAACTGGGTTAGTGAAACATTCATCTTTATCCATCAAATGGCTAGCCCAGTCCCCTAATTCAAGCGCTCCTAATCTTGCACAAGCAGAAAGTACGCCAACCATGGCATAGCAATCGGGTTTCAAATTCTCCTTCTGCATTTGAAAGAAGAGGTCTATGGCTTCTTTAGGAAGCCCATTTGATGCATATCCCTGAATCATGCTGCTCCAAGAAACTATATCCTTCTCGGGCATCACATCAAAGACGCGACGAGCTTTCTCCATATTTCCGCACTTGGTAAACATATCAACTAAAGAGGTAGCAACAAACACATTCCTCCCCATACCAATCTCCATTATGTATCCATCAATCCATTCCCCACTGCCTATATCCCCTAACCTCCCACACGCAGATAAAACCCTAACAAGGCTAAAACTATCAGGCCGCAAACCCATCTCCAACAACCCGCGAAACGTATCAATAGCTTCTCTGTACCGGCGAGCTTCAATGTACCCACAAATCATGGCAGTCCAAGAAACAACATTTTTCTCCGGCATTTCATCAAATACCTTATGTGCATGTTCCAAATACCCACATTTCGCATATAAGCAGAGCAAACTGGTTTTAACATAAACATCGAAGTCGAACCCAGTTTTCACCACAAGGGTATGAATGTTCAGCCCCAATTGGAAGTCTGATCGCCTCGCACATGCTTTCAGAACAAAAGGGTAAGTAAAGCTATTCGGTAAGAATCCATCTTTCCGCATCGAGCCGTAGAATTGGATCGCGTCGTCGAAGCAATCGTTGGAAACCAAGCCGCGGATCATGGTGTTCCAGAGGAAGATGTTGGGCTGCGCGGTTTGGCGGAAGACGTGGCGGGAGTAAGCGGTGTGACCGAAATCGAAGCCGGAGCGGAGGACCAGGTTGAGAAGATAGTTGTCTTGGTCGAGGCCAAGGCGAAGGAGCCGGGCGTGGGCGTGTTTGAGGTGGTTGAAGGAGGTGAAGCCTTGAAGGAGGCATTGCTTGGTTTCTAAGGCTTTGGAAAATGCAGGGGAGGATGCTCTGTTGGCTATGGCTGTCATAACCTGTTTGAGACTGGAAGAATTTTGGAGGGCAATTACTCAACGGTCGTTTTGTATTGCTCATTTTCCCACCAATTTCAAAATTTTAATACCTTTTATGTTTTGTGCAAATTTTCTTTCGTTCTGCGTACAACCGAATGGCGCAAAACTCAACGGTTAAATCTTGAATACAATGATCTAATGGATCTTTATAACAATTAAATCTAGCATAAAACTCGTACCACTAAGTAAGACGTAACATTATAACCGAACTTTGTTTTGTATGCCACTTCAACCCTAATGTTTCTTGCCAAAAATTTCTTCAAAACTGTTGATGTGGCTCGAAAACGGGTTCACTTAGGAGTCACGTCGACGATTTTGCTAGAGTTGTTGGATTTGGCAATGAAGAAAGTCCTCGGTCTAGACACCACATCATATAGTCCGGTTGTTTAGCCTAGACTGAATGAGTGGGACCAAAACGAAATGGTGTACCCATGCCATATAAGTCATTGTCGTGGTTGGGACCCAGGTCTCCTGAAATCAAAACTGCAAACAAGAATTTGCAAGGAATAGATAAACCTATGGCTAATACGCTGCGGAAGAAATGAAAAGGTGAATTTAAGAATTTGTAGTCTTGAATAAGTTCCACACATCGACATAATATGAACACAAAAACAATGGCCGCTAAATATGAGCCAGCAAAACAGAGTATTAGTATATATAGGGATACATATATGCACCATAACATTTCAATTACATACAGGATTACAAAATTTCATTCTTGGTACGCTACGTACTACATTTATATCACTCAAACAATATACACCTAACAAGATCTTAAAAATGAGTATATCTGGAAGTAGATTGGAACCGCGCTTACGCGCAGAGCTGTAGCTGTCGTTCTTGTATAAAGCATTTTGCCTCACACTAGATTCCCACGGATAGAGCTGAGCGACATTTCAACAAGTAGATTTTGAAGCGAGAGGGGAGCCGTATAATACAAGAATTTTGAGTAAGGAGAAAGAATACACCAAACTACAGAAACGTCCAGCGTTCTGTAAGAAAGAGAAGTGACCAGCCACTTCAAGCCAAGAACAGCACTGGTTAAGAGGTTAAGTAGAATAAACCCCTTTAGTTATCACTCCAACTATCATCATCGTCATCTTCATCACTTCCTGCACATGCCTGTAACGAAATTCTTCTCGTATTATTATATTAACTAACAAAGAAATACAGGTAGCAGAGGGAGATAGATTAACCTGGCGAATTGCACTTGCTTTCTCTAAGATAGCAGCGACCCTCAAGTTTGTTGCCGGGCCCTGAATGCTGCGTCTTGTCACCGTTGAAGATCTTGTCACCATTGCAGGCTTCAAGTTGAAGGACTAAGACAACAAAAGTTGGTTCAGTCTTTAACTTCGAAAATAGAGAGCCCAAGTACAGCAAAAATAGACATATCTGACCTTAGTTCTTATCTGTTGCAGCAATGAATCTCTTTCATCTACCTCAGGTTCAACCTGAGGCCGAACTCGTTCAGTTACCTTTCTCAACTGCAAAATGTCAACACGTTAGAAAGGTACTTTGTAAAGCATAAATATCAAGAAGAGCACATCCAGAAAAAGAAGAACAGATGCCATAAATGGATTATCAATTACCTTGCTTTGACCATGAGCAGCAACAGCATCGATGAGGGGATTTCTAGGACGAGGGAGCTTAGTAACTGGAACTCCATTAGACCTTCCAACTTCATAGTCTGACATTACAGCAGAATTATTGTATGACCATGATATTTCTCCCTCTGATGTTGGTAAACTATGCTGAGGCTGCTCCACCATTGTTGGAGCTGTCGCGGATGTGGAAAGAGGTTCTTGTTCCGATTCTGAATTTTTCGGTGAATGTTGAAGCACCTTAGGCTCGATACCGGTCTCCGGTGTTACCCGCTGCACAGGCTGGATAATAGATCCATGAGAAGATTCAGGGTCAAGTGTAGAAGTTGTACATTCAGAGCTTGGTCCAGTGAATGGATTTGAACCAGTCCGAATTTTTTCTCCCACTGAAGCAAAGTGATTAATTCCAGGCCTGTCATCAGATACCTCTGGTAACGACAAAAATGGGTTTGAGAATTGTGTTCCCCCTAAGTCAGGGAAATTATGTTGAAGATTAGCATCATTAACCATGGCTGGTAACTGCAACAGGGCAGGATGCACCATATTGCCAATTAAAGGTTCAGAAACATGTTGGAACTTCTCGCCTTCTTCAGACGCGGGAGGCAAAAATGGGTTCTGGGGCGGCAGCCCACCTCTCTGTGGTGCTGGCATATCAAATTGAGCTTTCTCATCAGGTTCCGACGGCTGTATTGGCAGTAAAGAATCCTGGTTAACTCCAACCGATTCTCTCTGTGAAAAAAGGGAAGTGTGTTGTTTTCCCATCCTCCATTGCATTGGTGGTAAAGGTGGCAATGGTGGCATGTCTTCCAGATTGACCACAGTACCTTCAGGGGGCAGGACTGATCTAGGAAGGGTAAATGGTTCCAATGCTTGCTTCGTAACATCAAGTTCCAGGCCTGATGATTCTGGTAAGAACTCTGATGTTAAAGCTTGGCTTGGGAGATATTCAGAATGAGATTCCAGGGAAGCATCCAAGTATACTTCCTGATTGATGTGCTCCGTAGATGGTAACTGGTTAGATTTCTCCGAATCCATGTGGTTTTGAGACCCTGCCTGTGCAGATTGAAGACTCGATAAGTTGATGCTTGCTTGATCTTCATCCGAACTTTCCACATCAAGTTCATCAGATTGAACCTCCAGAGAATGCTTTAAGTCAGCTTCTGGCTGATCCCTTGCTCCATCTCTTGGCAAATATCCGATATCAACTTGGTTTGCTTGTAAATCCACTGAATTGTCCAAACTAGTTTCAGGCTCTGGGAGGTAGCAGGTAGGTGAAGACAGAACTTCCGTATTTTCTAAAGATGCTGAGGCTATGGTCACATCACCAACAGCCAAACTACTTTCAGTTTGTTCATCCAGAGAGAAATTATGACCATCATCAGATACTTTTGAACTGGAATGGTCATAAATAGTTGATTCGCTTGGTTTTGATTCTGCGGGGACATCATGCACAGCCAAACTGTTCTCAGTCTGTTCATCCCGAGAGAAATTATGACCATCATCAGATGCTTTTGAACTGGAATGGTCATGAGTAACTGCTTGACTTGAGTTAGATTCTGAATCTGGAGAAACATCTTGTTTACTTGCTTCCATTTGCACTTCTGAGTCTGTGACAGATTCTGGAGAAACTTCATTCAGTTCAGATTCATTCTCATGGAAATCCCCAAATCCAGGAAGAGATTCATGCAAATTTATATAGTTCCTTGGTGGAGAAGAAATTGCATTTGCAGATGAATAACTAACATCATTGACGTCATTATCGGGTTGGGCAACAGCAGAAGAGGGCACAGCCGCAGTTTCTACATTTAGTGTTTCAGGTACCAGATCATCTGAATTCACATGATCTTCGTGGACTGTGAAAGTTGGACAATTAGATGGAAGTTCCACAGAAACGGTATCACCTCCTACATCAGCATCACTTGTGAATAATTGTAATTCATCATCATCCACGGTACTAAATCTCTCTTCTACATTGAATTTTTCTTCATAATGTGGAATACCCGCTTCAGCTTTGACGGATTCAAGTTGGGGAACATCCTCATTTAAATCAGATAATTCATCGTTATCCACGGCACTAAATCTCTCTTCTACGTTGAATTTTTCTTCATAATGTGGAATACCCACTTCTTCTTTGACGGATTCAAGTTGGGGAACATCCTCATCTAAATCAGATAATTGCTGCTCTATTAGGCCATGCATCTGGGGAGCATCCTGCTTCTCTGTTAGGCCACGTCTCTGTGGAGCATCCTGCTGCTCTGTTAGGCCACGTCTCTGTGGAGCATCCTGCTGCTCTGTTAGACCATGTGCCTGCCAAGCATCCTGCTGATCTATTAGGCCATGTGTCTGTGGAGCATCCACTACAGGCTCTTCTGAGATATGACTCTGTGCAGCATCCACCACAAACGGTACAACTTCGGAGTTGACTGCAGTTGGTGAAACAGGATTATCAAGTCTGGAAGCCGTGTTATCAAGATTTATAACATCTCTATAATAAGGCAGTAATGTATTACCTGAAGATATTTGTTCTTCTGGCAGGGCTGAGGAAAGCTGCTCTTCTGTGGATGAAATACTTAAGCGTGGTGAATCAATCTTTCTGGCAAAGCTTTCTAGAGAATCTTCATCTGCATATTGTGTCTTAAGTATTTTATTCACATCATTATTTCTACTTTGATCTTCAGAAGCAAGCTCTTCAACGTCTGACAAATGTGGCAAAGCATCGGAACTGAAACCTAAATCTTCCATGTCTGGCTCATCAATGGGATGGCTTGGTGAAGCATCATTAGTCTGGGAGTCACGGACAAAAGGCAGAGAATTATCCAGATTTGTCTCATTTTCGTCAATGTCTAATGGTTTACAATCAACTTTAATTTCGTCAGAGGGGTTATCATCTAACACAGGTCCTGCCAATGATACCACTGGCGAGTTTGCTCCAGTGTCTGAATGTAGCGTAGGACTCATATCCCTAACAAATGCACTGTAAGATGTATCTCCAGAATCAGGGATTATGTCTTCCACAATGCATGCATTATGAGACACCACCTGCTCCTTTGTTGTGGCTTCTAGAGACTCCACGAATTCAGATTTCTGGTTGGATGACATCTCAAAAATCTCAGCTCCACAGGTTTCAGTGGAAGGGAATTCTTTAGCTGCTCCATCACACTCTGATGGTGAATTCTCAACCACATTGCTTGGACTATCAGAGTGCGAAAAACTGGCTGTATCTTTTTCAAATGAATTCTTCCCGTCATCCGATGTAGAGGAGTTTCCAATTGATTGAGAATCCGAAAATCGAGTTTGAAGCTCCAGATGTTCCTCCTCATTTGCATCAGAATCTGTCCCGTACGTTTCCACGTTCTGGAAGCGTAGATTGTTCTTAGGTTTAAATTCATTGTCAGTTTCCATTTCTGATTCCAAAGTTGCAAGAGCATCCATGTAATTGTCTACCTCACTGGTCCTATCATCAGAACTTGAGGGGGTGGAACCCTCCATGCTGCCTTCAGTTTTATGTTCTCCACCAACTGCTATTTGTTTATCAGCTGCCACCTGATGAAGGTTGGAATAATTTTCATTTGTCTCAACATCAGAGTTTGGTTCAGACCCCTCTGGAATTTCTCTATCGAAACCCCCACTATTAAATCCATCCACGGATGGTTTAAATATATCTTCATGGACATCAGGTGAAGAGCTAGCACTTTTCCTTTCTGGGGACATTTCAGCAGGACTTACTGTAGTGATGTCAAGTATTCTAAGGTCTGGCTCACTGCTATCATCTAAGGTCAATCTCAAGAGCGGTGGACCAACAGAAGTTTCACAAATAAGTTTGCGTTCTGGTGAAAGAGTCTCCAGAAATGTCTTCATGTAACTTTTCCCAGTTTTTGAGTCAACTGCAGATCCATTCAAATGCCTTTTCTTCAATTTCACACGATGTGCAGGATCACTAGAACGATTCTCAATACGCTCCTCCAGGAACAACTCATGCAGTCTGCATTGTTTGAAAAAACAATAAGTAGCCACTCAACCAGCTGTTCTTTAAACATGAACATTTACAATAGCGTGAATGAGAACAGTGTGGTAATATGAAAAAAGAGCTCTTACTTGGCATTTGACTTGGCATGTGATGTCAGTGCAACTTCTGGGGTTTCACCATTCCTCCAGCGGGATCCTTTCTTCTGCTACACATAAGAAGACCATAGTAAATATTGTAATGACATAAGGTGTATAGTATAGCAATGACTTGGCAACAGAAAAAGGAGAACCTAATTTGCAAATTCTTAGTACAAAAAAAAAAAGTAGCATTCCCCGGTTTCCACATAGGCCTGCATGCTGGCTCACACTCCAAATCAAGATTAGGAGATGCCTAGCACATGCAGTCAGTCAGAAGGAGTGACGTAAACAGAACTTAATCAAGGTCCATGCTTAAAATTAAATCTCAAAGAGAAGAACTAAACATCAATTGGGTGGCATCTGTGTAAGTAATATCTTGCTCATACTGAACTAGGCAGCACAAGACCATGGAAAACAATCATGGTCGCCACCCATGGGTGGCAGCGCTCCTCCCAGAGGAGCAATGCCATGTGTTTTTCCTTTTCTTTTCATGTTTATACCTTTTAAGTAATTTTGTGAGAGCTCAAATAGTAAATAAATTTGCAAGTAACTAGAGAATACGCAGTTAATGAGAAATGCTCATTCCATCGCAATACCTTCACTTTACGGGTTTTCTTTTCTCTCTGCGTCTCTACTGTTATTGAAGATGCTGATTCAACTTTAAAGAATGACGGATCAGTGTACCGCTTCAAACATGCCCCAGCTCCAGCAACATCAAACCTGTTAGAATTGGATAAACATAATTATTTTAAAATTTTCCAAAATCTTTTCATTTTACTATATAGGTTAAAGTAGCATAAGTGAACACAAATTGGGTCATCATACTTGTCCAAAAGGAACAGCCGAGGAGGACCACGGCATTCTTCATAAGAATCCATTACAAAGCGAGGTAAGTCTCCACGAGTGATCATATTCTGTTCAGAACGCAGATTAGGATGCCAGTCAACCCCTGCAATAGAATTGTGCACTTGCATAAATATGCTGTAATTAATTTCTATTATCAACATGGCCAAAAGGGAAGTGTTTTTACTAATGCATCAGATTTTTATAGCTTTAACAAGGTGCACAAGTTACGAATAAAAAATTACATAACAAGTAGTCAAACCTGGATTGGAAAAGAAGGAAGAATGATTGGTTTGAGATAGAAGTGCCTTCTCAATTGAGGGAAAGTCCGCTTCAAGCTGTTGGACACGAACCACTAGACCATGGCCTCGTGTAGCGGTTGCCATTACTTCTTCGTGCAAGTCATGGAATATTTCAGCGGCAAACCTATGATAAGCAAAAATTGGCAACGAAATGCATTTCTCGTAAGTCCATTACCAACTAACTTAAAACCTACCATATAAGTTATGTGATACAGTCGTATCAACCGGAAAACCCAAATTACATGTCAGCTGAAAAGGCTTTAAACATCAATTCTTGGACAGAGAAGTACTTATTTATCCATGCCACATTTGCATTAACCAAGTTAAATCCAAATTCTAGAACATTTGGATTTCTGTATGATCCTATAACCAATTTTTAATCCAACAGATTCATTTCCGAAAAATATTCCCAATTACGCGCACTTCAATCGCCCTGATCAAATGGTAATCTCCAAAAATCGCATATTTAATCACCAGCATAGTTCAGTACTGGTGTCAACTAAGTCAACAGATTTCACTCGCCGTTAATCCAGTAATAAAGTCTAAATCTACACCAAAATTCCCAAAATAGTAATTCTATCACATTAATCGAATTATCAACTCCAAGAGTCCAAATTTCAAGCCCTAAAGTCTCAGAATTTCTGGTAAAAGCAACAACTTTCAACAATTCGAATCAAAACCCACATAAAGTAAAACCAGTGGCAAAAGATACTCACTCAGCAAGGTCGCCGAGCTGCCGCAAAACACCGACGAGGCCGGCCATGGCGACGCCTTCCAGTAGAGCCTCCGGATCATCCCTATCGGCTGCTCTGTACAATTCCGGATCGGCCAAGCCGTACTCGTTCCTTATCTGGTACCTTGTCAACGGCATTCTTCAGGTCTCCACTCCGATAAACCCTAATCACTCAGAAACTGCAAATTGTATATGTAACTCTGCTCTTCGATTTTACATTTCCAGGAGGGGGAGAGAGAGAGATAGAGAGATAGAGAGCGAGAGAGAGAGAGAGAGTATGCGGTGGTGGTCAGAGGGAGAGACAGACGTGAAGGGAGTGAGACAGAGAGAGACGGAAGGGAGGAGAAGTAATTAATGATATATTTTTTAATTTTTAACTGAGAATTTTGGAATGTAAGCAAACGATCGGCGCCCAACTTGCCGCTTTTATTGCGCCGGTTGTATTGGATCATGGTACGTATGATGTAACTGGACCGGATAATTTTTTGCACATTTGTTAATCTGTTAACGAGTTAGATTGTTATTGTCTCACCTATTAAGAACCCGTTAACAAGTTGAGTCGTTAGTCGTGTCATTTGTTAGGAACCGATAAGACATCGTTTGTCAGATCTAGACATTAGACAAGATAATTTCTTGAATAACCCGTCAACCTGACACAAAATGGCACAACCCGTTAACGAATCAAGTCGTTATGGAGTCAACTGTTAAGAACAAGTAAGATTACGAGTTTGACACAACAAGACATGACCCATTAAGATAACATGTATGACATGAAAACGACTCGTTTTCCAACCTAGATGTAATATAAAACGTAAATAATTTTCACACGCTTTTTTTGATACACCAATAATTTTCACACACTTCTTTTTAATTTTGTACTTATGAATATCCTTTTGTACAAATTATAGTTTGAAAAATAGAAAAAAAACAAGTGTGCAGAAATCTTTATTTAATATTGTGTCTTGGTGTGTTTGAGTTGGAATCGCTTGCCTTGAAGACTACAAGGTATTGGTGCTTAAAAACAATCCAAAGTTGAAAAGGAGGGGTAATGATGAAACAATTGGCTTGGAAATTACTCTTAGTACTAATTGGATTATTAGTTTATGTAGTAATAGCGTAGTCGGAATATAGCTTCTGTAGTAAAAAAAATATAATTTAAATCCTTTAGTGAAGTCTGTTATGATTTATGTCTAAAATTAACAGTTCTATCAACTCTCCATTAATTGTTAGCACGTAAGCTACACATGTGAGGTTAAAACATAACTATCAGTTAATTGTTAGCACATGAGGCTCACATGTCATATGTGTGGCTAACTTTACCTTTTTAGCTCACATGCTAACAATTAACAAAAAGTCGACAAAACTTCTAATTTGGTACCCAAATCCTAAAGACTTCACCACAAAAGTTTAAATCTTAATTTTTACCATATGGCTATCTTTCTACTACCATATCATCACGGAAATTATTGATCCAATTAAGCCTTACTCTTTTTATTTTTTGGGTGACTAGGTTGTTCAATATTTGATACTGAATTGGAATACCTATGAAGCATTTTGTATACCAATCAAGTCAATCACATTGTTTCTTAAATGGTTAAAAATGTTTGCTAACAACCGTAATGCTTTCAATAAAAACACTTCTAGTATAAGTGTTTATGAGCAAAAACGTTTGCTACAAAAACAGTTGCAAATAAGTCCTAAATCCAATCCCTACAAATCAAATTAAAAGATTAACTAATGCAATGGCAACTCGAAGTCATTCGTGAGATTGTACCCAATTAATAATGAGATTCACCAACACGATGGAAGACAACGACACTATTCTTACATAAAAACTACATGAAGCCAATGTTTGGTTCAGTAGCAGTTAACTCCACTTAGTAACATTTCTTCGGTTTAACTCACATAAATACAAAGATAATATGTAAGCATAATGAGTTCAATATTAATCGTTGTAGTTTATTGGTGCATTGTCACATTTGTAAATTGGTTGTCAAAAGGAAAAACAAACTAATATGATACAATCTATATGTTAATTTGAAACTACTTTATTGGAAACCGTTTGAGTAATAAAATACATCAAGAACTTGTGTTAATCATGATGGTTTTTGTTGCTTAGTGCTTGCCAAACAAGTAGACCCTCATGTCCGTTTGAGAAAAAGTGCAAGAGATATTGTCATCATATTATATAGATCCCAACTGCGTCAATTAGACTCCAAGACATGATTAACAAAGAATGAACCCTAATTAGTTCTCACCACGTCAAGGAGCTATGAATATTGTATATTGTCTATTTGATTCCTTTCACGAACATGTAAGATTATTAAATGTTCGAGAATAGAGTCTCATAGCGAACATATAGTAAAGTAACATGTAGTTTGTATGCAACAGGTTAACTATTAGTATCACTAAGATCTTTTGTGATGAAACCTTATACAGTCGGGACTATTGACTACAATATCGAATAGTTGGACATAGGAGGCCTAATAACTAGATCATTAGATACCAATTGACAAGTATGTTATCCCTTTTTTTCTTTGTTTGTTGACAGATGCAGTTCAGGGTTTCATATGTGAAAAGGAAACTTAAAAATAATAAAAGGAAGGGGGAAAATCTGGGGTTCTAGGTAATAGCAGTTGGCCATCCGTTGATCGTACCATACCATGTTGACTATTGAGCCAAATACAACCATCAAGGTAGGGTAAGGTCCAACAGAATGAGACCTACTGTTGTAGATGGGGATCGTTTCGTAAACACCTTGTTGAAAATATCTTGAAACTTATATTGAAAAAAAAAACACTTCTCGAAAAAAAACATAAGACAATGATTTAAGCAATTCTCGAAGTTTATTCAGGACACATTTTCAGTTCAGTATAATGATTAAAGCCAAGACCGTATTTTATTCTATTTTACATTTTTTATCTCCTTAACATTACATTTTTAAAAGAATTCGTCGAGTATCCTAAAAAACAATTCAGGATTGATTATAATTTTTCTGTCAAAAATTATCATAAACGTTTTCTGACGATCTTCCTTCTAAACCGCTTTTAACACGACTTTGAAGTTAAAGGTATGAATGATAGACAGCTATCCACTGGTTACTGGAGCCCAGGAAGGTCAGGACATGAATGCCAAATCACAATGGAATCAGAGTAACCAGAAAATCTAAACGCATGATGTGATAAAATGGCTGTCATTGATGTGACTCCCGGATTCCAGTACTTTTGGATGCACCTAAATTTTTGGGCTCCTTTTTTACCAGTGTGAAATCTGAACGGGAATATGGAAGCTTCGTTGAGCCTTTTTTATTTATGACTTTCGTACAGAGAGAGAGAGTGAAAAGAAGAGAAAGGATTGGCAGTGTGCAAGTGGTTTTAGTGGGAGTTCAGGGAGTGTCTTTTTCAAGGTGTCCTTGCTTTCTGGTAACTTCTTTTTACGCTTTTTCCATGGAATGTAGTTGTACCAGATACCAGTAGTTGTTACCTTTTGCTTTCTATGGTTCTGTTTTGCCCTTTTGGTCTTCTTCTTGGGACTTGCTCATTTAGCTCTCTTTAGCTTCAAGTGTATGCGATGTAGGCAATTTGTTGGTTTGTATCTGTGTATATTGTGTGTTATGTATTGAGATTTTCAACAGTTGAATTCATTTATTGAATCTTTAATTGCATAACAAATTATTCATTGTTTTGGTGTACGCTATTTCAATAGTTAAACTCTTGTTCATTGAATCTTTGATCGCATAACGAACCATTCATTACTTTGGTACAACCTTATATTGGAGAATAATAAACTTTCTGCATATAGTGGACATTTCTTTCTTTAAATTACATATGTTAACATTCAAAATTAAGAAGTCAACAAAAACCAGTATAATCAACCATAGGCTTGAAGTGGATATGCCTCCACTCTCCGCGAAGGTACAAAAGAGTAGCTCTGTCACTACCAATAGAATTTACTCCCTTCAAAATGTAAAAAATGTGTAAATCTACCCAAATTTTTAGCACCACCAACCAAATATTATATTTACACCTTATTTAATCTTCCTTTATTAAATCATGAACAATGACAAAGATGACTAAAAACGGCGATAACTTCTCGTTTGCACATCAGCACTGAAGATGCTCATTCAACTATAAAAACCATACATACATTCATATTTAGATGGTTGCAATATACTTAAATCTTGCATAATTAACAACAAATTAGGCGAGAGTAGCTATAGCTTCAAACAATCAAGTAACCTTTGCTTAAAAGCTTTGACTCCTTAGTAGTGGAACGCATATGCTTTCAACTGTGTATATATAATATATATGGTGTGTTGTGTAGCCACAATTGAATTGGTTTTCCAGTTGCCAACAACTTCTTCTCCAACGACTGTATGGTATGGCCACCATCTTTGTTAATGCTAATGCGAAAGTAACGTGCATTTTATGAAGGGGGGGGGGGAGTCCACCATTTTCTTACACAGCAATCTTTTTGGGTTATTTCCTCATAAATACTACTGTGTTAAATTAGTGGTTGCTGTTATGGGGCACTTGAATCTTGACCCACCAAACCCCTAGCTTATTTGTTACCTTAGTTATGTCTCATTATTGTAAATACACATGATTCTTCTTATTCATTTATGGGAAAATAACACAGCAACCACAAGTTTTAGTGTAAACTATTTGACATGCCCAACAAATGATGGTGTCTTTAGCCATTCCGTTTGGAAAAAAGATGAATACCCGAATCCTATAGCTTTGGACTCGCTATTCCGATCATGGTACCCCTAAGAGGAAATGCCCTTCCCCTTTTTTGTTGGTCGTGTGCAATGAGAGATTGTACCCCCGACACCCTCGTTAGTACGAGGTTCTTGGGTACGGCACCCATTTTGGGGGTCATGTGAGATGGGGGTGAGACCAAAAGTAGACCGGGGTTAGCATGGCAAAGCAAGGAGAGTGGGATATGAGAAGGTTTTTGTGCCTGTGTCCTTAGGGATGATCTGATCCCTAGTTTGTAGCCATGCGTTCGAATCTTTTGAATTGGAAGCTTACCGGAGTCTTCATTATTTGGTGTGGTGGATATATTCTTTTTCTCTGAAAATTTTTCAGTATATCTTATGTGATTACATAAAATAGAGTGAAAATTTGAACCTATATTAATCACTTAAGTTATTCATCCCCCTCAATAATCACTTGAGCTAATCTCAACCGGCTGTTTTGCGGTACATCTGCTAACAGCCAGAAGATATACCGTCCTTGTCTCTTAGAAAGGCCGTACAAAGTTTGGCCCAAAGTTGTGTGAGGGCCTGTACCCAAACTCTTCGAGCAATTCAGAGTCCAGTCCATTTTCATTTGGGCAATAAGTAGACTCAGCCAGTTAATCTTATTTGGGCTTGAATCTCCAAGATAATCGGAGAGAAATAAAATTAACTTATTGGGTTGCTAATGCGCAACTATTAAGACCTATTTAGTTTGATTTGACCATAGCACTATCATCATTACTACTAATCTCACCAGCATACTATAGAGAAACAAAACTAAGCGGGTTTTGATGATACACATTAATAACTCAATAGGTTGATTTACCTATCCAAATAAAAGCTTGTGCAGAGGTTTTGGATCCTCTCTCGTGCACATAAAATTGTCGTAAAAGACGTACAAAAAGGGACATTAATGTTCTGTTGTTTTAATAGGATAATGCTATTTTCACACTCATTTTTATCTCCCACACACTCTTGTTAATATTTGACAATTGATCTTCTTTAATTCATTCGATCTGAATACTAGAAATAGAGAAGGGTACGTGAAAAATAAAATAGGTGTATGTATAGCACTACCGATTCTAATATACAAATCACCATGCCCAAGAGTAAACAAATAAAAGAATTCTATAGTTGGTTAATATAATTAATAATAACGTGGAATTAAAAAAAAAAAAAAAACACATAACATTTCAAGTGGAGTCAATGGTCCCCTTGCTCTTTTTTCCTTTTGGTTTATGGGAACATGTACAAATCATGAATGGTGGTCTATTAGTTGAAAAGTATATCAGTAGGAGCAATTACTCGAAAAGTATTGCTCAAAGTATCCAACTAATCATGTACATTGTACATATGCATACTCGTTCAAGATTTGATGCATTAATTAGAAAAAGAAATAGCAATAAGAACGATCATCGACGTTAGTCTTGTATATAAAAAATACAGAGTCAGGGCCGGCCCTCAAGAGAGCGCAAATAAGAGATCACCAGATGTGGTCTTGTATATAAAAATTGTAATGCTAGGGCCGGTCCGACCTTAAAGAGAACACAAATAAGAGATCACCGACTTTGATCTTGTATATAAAAATACAGTGTTTGAATCAACTGGACTTTGTAAAGAACGCAAATAAGAGAGGCTACCCATAGCATCTTATCTTGCTCTATTTATTTGCTACAGAAGTTTCCGTAAGTAAATGACGACCCACAACGTAATCATAATTAGGAATAACTATTCATTTGCGAATATGGTTTGTTTAATCCCTTGCTTTGGCTCCAAAACACATCATGGGGGTTTTCAGTATAATATGTATCAGTAGAAATGTAAGGAGGTCAAATCTTTAATATCCGCCACAATCTTTAATCTCAGGAGAAATGTATAATATGTAGCTTCTTAGAATATAGAAGAAAATAATTTCATACGCTCATTGCATGAAACACGTGAAACTTTTTGTTTATATTTGTTGTTTCAAAATTTTTATGGATCTTGTTAATTAATGGATTGTGAAGAGAAAACACAAACAAGAACACATAATTCATATGTTTTTGGTAAATGTGCCTCTCATCTCTCTGAAAATTTAAATAGAATTCAATAACTTCTTTGGATGGTAAGAAAAGCACTTTTGTTTAAACTTAAGATTACCACTCAAAGTATTTCCTTTGTAAGTGTCATTTTGGTTCTAAAATACTTAAAGTCCTTAAATTTTATATTGCAAAATACCGACTTATTACTGTTTTGATATACTTCTACATTACAGTATTGACGATTACTAAACTATGTAATTGATCAATGATCACCTCTTTAAATTCAAGTCAAACATGCGAATTCAAGCCAATTTCAACGAAAGTATTTTTCATTTTTTCAATTTCTAACGTTTTGAAATACAATATCATGCATCTGGATATGGTATGATTACTAAGGTAGCATAGAAGTCATTAGTCAGACCTGCAATTGGACCCGGATCTATATATTTAAGTTTACGTAAACAATGATATACAATATACGTACACGGACATATTAAAGGTTAATTTATCCAAATTAATTAAATACTAATTTAGTTGATCACTTTTGTTTTTTTTTTTCTTTCTGGTCAAAATTGATGACTTCTACCTTGAAAAAAGCTAGCTGCAGTCTTTGGTCATAAACTTGAGGCCTCTTCCGTCGTTACAAAATGTCATCGTGGCCACCACTTTCCAAATAATGTAGTATTTTAAATACCCCATTTTCTAATGGAAGCAAGGAAAGCACTTGGACGTAAAAAAATGGATCAGATTAGGCACCCAAACAGAAATAGGAGCTTATTGGTTCTCTTCTCTTGTTAAAACTTGCAAAATTTGGTAGCTAAATTACACGTACGTCATTATATTTTCAAATGTTCCAAGGACTAAAAGTTAAAAACCCTAGAGTACAGTCTGTATGGCATGGCTTTTTCATAAAAAGACCAATTAAGGTCCGGAAAATAGCTCGACTGGTCGACTCTGGTACCAGTAGAATCTAAATCTTATTACTTAAATCATGAAATCTTCTCGGTTCTAATTTAACTTAATTTACTGTCCTTTTGAGTACACAAAACCATTAATATTGGCTAAACTAGAATCTAAATCTTGTTACTTAAATCAGGATATCTTATACAGTTCTGCGTTTAAGTTTAATTTATGAGGCTCTAATCTTCATTTTCTCCCATTTAGTAGGCATCTTATCAGTCGTAACTACTAATTAATCACACGCCAGCACAACTGGGGCCTCGTTGCATCTCATCTGCCAGCTGAAGCTATAAACAAATTCCCCAGTTTTTCACCTGCTCTGGTTCTTCTTCAATGCGATGTTTTCTTCTTTCAGCAGGCACTTTCTTGCCTTCAATTCCACAAGGCAGAAAAATATAACATAATTATATGTAACTGGGACCAGAATTTTTCATTCAGAATGGAGTTTGAAATTTTGTATTTAAAATAGCAGACATGCAGCTGCAGATTCACCTAACGAGCACTATTGGTTGTTTGACATTTTGAACAAACGATAGCTGGTTTGTTTTGCATCACAAAATTAACAATGGAAATATATGATCTGCAAACTTTTTTTTTTTTTTTTTAGTATCGACACTCTGTTTATTTTGGTATTTGGAGATTTGTATAGGAAGAAAAAATCATCAACTTCTCATAACAATATCTACATTGAGTCTAGAATATTGGACTTCTAAGATTTATGACGCCTCTCACATCCTGTAATGTGAATTCATTCTTTAGCCATTTTTTATGGACTTTGTGTGCAGTCAAATTAAACAAATATGAATTGGGATGAAAATTCAAACTTGAGATCTCTTCTAACATTAGGAAGAAAAATATCACTAATTCGACCTAAAAATTTTGGCTATGTACAAGAAAAGACACAAAAGATTATTCCATCACTATAGTATATGCTTTGCCATTATAATTGGCAGCTTATCTAGTAATACTTAGCTAGTTGTAATATTTATTTGTTGAGATTAATGTTTCTTAAGTCATACAGTTCTGCTACCACGCTTAAATTCCAAGGGGCAAGGAATAGAGGTACAAAAGTGAGGTGCATATTTCTAAGGAAGTTACCTTGAAATAACACAAACAGACCTCTCTTGGAACCCACTCACCCTCATGCATATGTATGCCTCTACTGCCTATAAAACCCATTCTTTCTTCACTCAACACCACATGCATATGTTTGTTTCTTTCTTCACAAACAGCCCTCTCTTGTTAAGCATCTCTCTGTCTCTCACCCCCTCCCCTGTGTTTATAGAGTTAGTTGCCAACCATGCCTGCCCAAGTTATGCCAGAAAAAGCCCTTCATGGAATTCATGGATTGGGAAGGGACAACATTACTACTACTCCCCTTCCTAAAAGGCACTTTCTCCTCGATTCATTTTCTCAATTGTTACTAAAAGATGCCCAAAATGCACATACTTTCAGAACATTTTAATCTAACATTTTGCATGGGAAGAGTGCCAAATTGAAAAGAAAACAATTTTATTCATTGGTAATTTACTTTTTATATAAATAAAATAGAGAACTAAGCGATATTAATTTCAATTTCTCAGGTTGGATGGAAAAGTTGCTATTGTGACAGGTGGTGCTAGAGGCATTGGAGAAGCAACAGTGAAGCTTTTTGCAAGGCATGGCGCCAAAGTAGTCATTGCAGACGTGGAGGATGCAGTTGGCACAGCCCTATCAAATTCCCTGAGCCCTTCAGTTACATATGTTCACTGTGATGTTAGCTTGGAAGAAGACATGGAAAACCTAATTGAATCAACAATCACCCGTTACGGGCAACTGGACATTATGTTCAACAATGCTGGGGTCCTCGGAAACCAGTCGAAACACAAGAGCATCATGAACTTTGATGTCGATGAATTTGATAGCATAATGCGGGTGAATGTTAGAGGAGTTGCATTGGGGATGAAGCATGCTGCAAGAGTGATGGTTGCTAGAGGAATCGGCGGGTGCATAATTTCAACCGCAAGTGTAGCCGGAGTCACGGGCGGGCTGGGGCCACATGGTTACACAGCTTCAAAGCATGCCATTGTAGGGCTCACAAAGAACGCAGCTTGTGAATTGGGAAGGTACGGAATTAGGGTAAATTGCATTTCTCCGTTTGGGGTTGCCACGTCAATGCTGGTCAACGCTTGGAGGATGAGCGGTGGTGATGAAGAAGATGAAGAGGAATGCATGGATTTCGTGATGCCCTGTGAGCAAGAAGTGGAGAAAATGGAAGAGTTTGTGAGAGGGCTTGCAAATTTAAAAGGTCAAACTTTGAGGGCAAAAGACATAGCTGAGGCTGCTCTTTATCTTGCAAGTGATGAATCCAAGTATGTTAGTGGTCATAACTTGGTTGTGGATGGTGGAATCACCACTTCAAGAAATTGTGTTGGCTTGTAGCCTAGCTTGTTTTAATTTTGTTTTTTTCCCATTTCATGGTGTGATTTTGTACAATCATAGATTAGGAAAAGGTTTGCGTGTTTGGGTTTGTAATAGGGTTCATTTGTCAAGTCTATATTCATCGAAATTCAAGTGTAAATTTTTGGTGGTGACCAATTTGGTGGCTTGGTACTCAATCTCTTAATTTAGTAAGGTAAAATGTAAAATGTAAAACTAGAAATTAGAACTTTGTTTAGTGTATTTAATTATGAGATGGCATAATGTTTTAAGATGAAAAATTATATTCAAATTGCATTGTCTTTTTCGTTTTTCTTTTAGGGAGAAATGAATCCATATACAACTACGCATTTTAAAATTTTGTGAACGACGAATTCTCCAAAAAAACCTCAACCAAAGAGAATTAAGTATCATTAACCCTACCTTCCCTAATGCAGTAAGCACTACAGCCATCCACTAGTATAGCATTACTTTTTTGGATTTGAATATATGAAGAATATGGGATAAAGCCTAAAGGGGTAATAAGATGTGCATATTTGAATATCAAAGCTGTCATGGTCATGCTCATGGTTTTGAGTTTTGACATCTAAATACGAGCTGCACATGTGACCCATGAAGTTGAATGAATCAAAATTCAAACAAAGCCATTGATTCTTAAAGAGCAATCGTAGGGGAAAAAGATACGCTAATGAAAGTCAGGAAAGTTTGACAAAGTACGAAAAAACTGTATTCCCTAAAAATACTTCGCCCATAGTTCGATATCAATTGATTGTTTAAGAAAAGTTTGTCCCCACTGTTATTAGAAATCTTTTTTCTGCAGAAAAACTTTCATACATTTGTTACATGAGATGAGTGTCTTATATTTACTATACTATATGAGTAGCACATGATTAAGAACATGGTACGTTCGTGACATATTTAAACTAGTGCACGAAAAATTTTCTCCGACAAATCTAGTTTTTTAGAGAATAAATTACAAGTAAACGATCAATGAAAATCAATGGATGACTCGTACTACAAAGACAAAGTTCTCTATTGAAGAATATTATATTGCATGGAACTCCATTGCCGGATTCTCATTCCCTCTCAAATTTCAAAAGCTATTCCATGATCCATGAACCATGACTTGTATTTTTTTTTTTGGATGAAGGAGGAAATATATGAAAGAGAGAACAAGTACAAGCAGTGTCATAAAAGACTTCCGATTCCAACTGAGGGATATATAATGTTACCAACCATATAGAGAAAATAAATCTCAAAAAGAGAAGATAACACTAACCACAAAAGCTATTCCATGATCCATGACTTGGTTTACACCTTAAAACTTTTGACTCTCAGCGGAATATACGTGCACATATCAACCATTTCAGAAACAAATGCTGGCCGGCCCGTAACTGGATGACCAGGAATACGTTTGCTGTTGCGTTTAAACTTGAATATCTAACCTATTTTGATATCATGATGAAAATTTAAGTTATATCATAAAATCAATTGATAATATAAGAAGTATCTGAGTAAAACATTTCTTTGCATTCTCGGTCTTCAGCCTGGTACTCGAGAAATAATAAAATCCCGACAGGTCATTTTGAACAGCTCAATCAAACCCTAGAAATCATCAATGATAAAAAAATTAGATAGACTTGGAAGCTGTCAATGTTCAAACGTAACCACATCATGAGTTGTAAGATTTCTGTCTTCATCGATCCAGGACTAAGTTAAATTAAACACAGTGGGCTCCCCTTGTTTAATTTAAACGAAGAAATACTAGGCAACGGGGTGCAACCATAGTTCTTTGTTCTTATTGACAGTGGCGGAGTGAGCATGGGGTCATTGGTTACCCTTGATCTCAATAATTTAAAAAACCTCATGTAAATTTGTTCGTGTATTGTATATAACATTTATAAACAGCTATGGCAAAATAAATTACAACCTCCTTCTTCTACTTGTTCTATCACATTTGTCTTCATTTTCTCTTTTCTTGTGCAATCTTTTGTGCGCACTATGTGCTCGATAAAATACCTTAGTTAAAAGGCCTTAGCAACCTTCAATGTTACTCTACAGTATCATGCACCCACCCTCTACAAGCTAAAAATAATATTAGTTGTCGACATATGTTGTCATAAACTTTCGGTATATGTTGAAAGGAATTGGCAAGTGTCTATTAGGTGCTCGATGAAATAGCTCAATGAAGCTTTTTTAGTTGATATTATGACCCCATTATTTAAAAATTCTAACTTCGCCACTGCTTACCAAGATGGCCAACAATTTAGTACAACTTGTAGAGCTATAGATTAATTATTATTTATGTGACTCGGCATTGCCCCTAGCATCCTGGAATAGCAGGTCAAGTAGAAAGTACTAAATTACTAATGGTCTATATAAAACTATAGACTAAACCCTTAAAATATACACAAATTGAACCGACGGCTGCCAGAGTTCTTTTGTTTTGTTGTAGTCTCCGAGTCCGTACTACTAATACTAGTAGTATATTAGGTCTCTAATTTAATCCAGTTCGATATGAATTAACAGGAGAATATTAGCTTGCTATAAAAATTAAGAATAAAACATTTTTTTTTTACTGGTGGAGAACGTCTCTCAAGCAGCTTTTAGAATGTCACGTTAGAAAGTACATTGCGAACCAATTATACTTAAGGAAAACTAATGAAAAGGGTTTAAAAACTATGAGTTTTAACGATAAAAATAAAATAAAGGGTAAAGTGAATAATACCATGATTGATTTTTAAATGTAAAAGTATAATTTTTATTAAAATGAACAGTATCAAGAACTTTTCATTAAAGTTTCCTTATACTTAAGGCATGCGAGAGTTCCTATAACAACATTACTCGTAACAGTGTTTGTTGGGAGCCATGTCAAGACGGCTTTAAAGACTTATGTCGTCGATACAGAAAGTCTGACCTCAAATTTGGTGGTTTTGGGTCTGAGGTGAAATTATAGAGGACAGCCTCATGGAGTGGCACGACATGGACGGAAATCGGCCTTAGTATTGAGGGCCTGGCAGGGCTAGCATGAAGCCCAATAGGGTCGACTGCCAAGGTTTAAATGGGCTGATTGAGATGGATAAATTCAGCTTTTGCATTTGGGGAGCCAGTATTTTAGAACCGACAAAAATGCTGAAACAAAAGAGAAGAGATCCAACCAGCTGACTTGATTTTGAACCAGAAGAACTTGAAGAATGTGATGGTTTACGAGCGTAGCCAGGAAAAACGTGTCGAGAACCCTTAATTTATTTCCTTTTGATGCAAACGTCAACTCAAACTTAGCTGACGCAGTTCGGTGAATTTATGCACCCCAACACTTGCTTCTCAAATGACAAATCATCAATGAGGTAAAACTGTTGGTTCAAACACTCCAATATCTTGTTTAAAAATGAATTATGATAGTCAAACCAAGCAACAAAGAAAACAGTAAACGACCAAATCACATGAGAACGCAAAAGATTTACGAGGTTTGGCAATTTGTTCCTATGTCCCTGACGAGCATCTTGAAAAATTTTACAAGTAGAGAGAATTAGCTTTGGTTACGATATCAACCTTCTTAATCTATTATTAATCCCTGGGTTCAATCTTTCTCTCACTTGCTCTATGTATCTCTTGTAGTTTTGGTTATGTTTAATAATCTCCATCATATTTATACTTGATAGACTTTAATTAAGAAAAGCAAAACCCTAAAAAAAGGAAAAATCCAACTGCAAAAGTCGCATGATGAGCCCATGCCATACATGCTTATGCATTATTACCAGTTAGGGTTGACAATAGTATTTTTAACATGTTAAACTGACAATTAACAAATATCTATTCGTAAGTGAACAATTGTCTTACTATATATTACAATAATGACTGATAATCATTCACGCGTACGTGAAAGACTGTCTCTAACCTTAGATAACCAACACACAAATCGCATTTCATGGTGGAATTGACACTAACTAAAGCCAAAAAAGAGTTCCAAACTGGGACCATACATGAATGCAACTGTACCAGTTAGTTGGAAGGATTTAGTTGGACAACTGTGCTGGACCAGATGTGAACAATGCAAAATTTTAAAATGGGGTTTACTTTGTTGTTTCTTAAGGTTCTCATCATCCCATCCTCACAAGTCCACATACATCCACAGTGCTATGTAGCAATATTGCAATTTGGTCAAAAAAAAGTTTGTAGCTAGCAAAGGGATCACTGTTTTGCCTAGAGGAAAATCCACTGTTTTAAAGTCCTTAGCAGGAAAGTACGTACAAAAGAAATATGAGGGCCGTACACTTGTGCAGAGTGACTGTGCGGCAGACAGCGACCTCCGAAGGCTCTCCAAAACCAAATTTGATGTATCCCATTGAATCCGGACCGGGCTTATCTTCCCTTCCAGTTCTCATACATTTTCATCCCTTCTTATTTTGTGCGGTCACAGTTAAGTTATGTTAATATTTTGTATTGATTTTTTTATAGAGATAATAAGACAAAAAATAATAATAATATAAAATGTTGATGTGACTTAACCTTGATCGTACAAATAAAAGGAGATAAGAGTGTATTAGAACTGAGAGGAGAGAAAAGCCAGGTCCATTGAATCCACTACGCGCCAGTTAACATGTCATAGCTTCTGACCCATCTTTTCTCTTTTCATTTGCTCTTTCGAGCGGAACTTCTGTGACACAAAAATTATTGTTACGTTATGTAAATTTTTTTATACAAACTATTGTATTATTAGATATTATAATAACAATATACTAGTGACATGTATGTTTCTCTCTTGATATCCAATTAGGATTTCCAACTCATCAAACCCTTTCAACCTTAAACCTCCATGACAAAAAAAAAGAGTTCGTCCTCAGAGAAATGCAATTCTTCAGGGAAGCCAGTAAGAAGAAGGTTTACCACCAAAAGAGGTTCTAAAACACGTGACGTCAATGCTGCTGAAATCAGGAGGGAGATTCTCCATGCCATACAACTCCATAGATCATCATCATCATCATCATCATCATTATCAGCGGCACCAGAAGCGTCGGCGCCACCACCACCTGTTTTTGTGGGTCCACGGTTTGATTCATTGGCGGAGCCTATGCCTCTGCCTGGGCCAGTGTGGTCTACCACTGCACCTTCAGTATTGCCTTATGCTTCTTCTTCAGCAGCCATGGAAGCCTTGGAATTTGAGTGGGGGGAGAGCCAA